TTGCGGGAATATAAACTCAATCTTCTCTGAAATCAAATCTATTTTAAATATACTCGCATAGGTCATGTTAATAAATTTGTTTTTTTTCTATATTGAGTGTGTTTAGAATCTGTCCAATGTATTGCTGAGCATTTTCTTATTTAAAGTTTCAGGTAGACCTACTTTGTGTGTGAGGAGCAGGTAATAACCCTCTCTGCTCCAGTGTTGCGAATGCGATCTGCTGGTCTATCAGACACAGCGCAACACGATTTAGAAACAGCAATGAACTCCATGTTGCAGGTCAAAATGAATCCATTTAATGCTAAACTAAATGCATTTCTCCACCGATTACTTATATTAACAGGAACAAATAGTCTTGGAGAAAGTTTTTTGTGTTGTCATGAACGCAACGCGCAGTTTGAATTGTGAATGAATGAAGAATGATTGACAGGCGCAGCGGTGGGAAGCGCTGAACTGAACATTATTTAACCACTTGGATATTCATCTGTACTTCACATTTACCTATAAAATGGCTTCAGAACATTTGGTATATAGTAGGCTACATGACAACTTTCTAGTGCCTTATAATAGGCTACCTTTGTGGCTTTTGTTGGCTCATAAATTACACAAAATATAGCGCACACGCAAGATCAGATTTGGATCGGTACCGATATCTGATCCAAGTATCGGGATTGGTGCATGCCTAATATATATATATATATATATATATATATATATATTTGGGTTGGGCCGATAGGCGATGTCATCATCCATCACCGATGGCTGACAAACTTCACAATGCTGAGCCGGCATCTCGATCCATCACCCCGCGGTTGTAGCTCCTGTCATCTGAAGGTAGAAGGCATTGACTGAGTGATTGACAGCTGATATTAACCAATCATTCGCGTTCAGTTCTAGAGCAGTGGGCCAATAAGAAGAGCACAAAGGTGGGGCAAGCATTGCAGGTTTTTTTTTACTTCAGCAAGTTCACATAACAACTGTTTATCTGTTCCTGGTTGCTGCGTTTGGCATTTTCAGGTGCAAAGATGCATTCTGCATAAATGTCTCCTAAAGGATTTTGCAGTGAAAACGTATGCACTCGCCCAAATGCTTCCAAATATATTTTAAGGTCGCCTAGATAAAATTTCGTACGCATATGTGGCCAAAACGGTCGAGCCCTAGCATCTTCACTTGTTATTATTTCCTCATAAAAATAAAAAATAAGGAAGTTATTCAAATTTCAGAGAATTCCAAATGAAGTCTCCTCCACCAGGTGTGGAAAAAAAGACATTATAATGACACAGATCACTGCCTATTCATGGCAGAGTCCCGCAGAAACAAAGTGATTGAGAGCTGGTAATTTGTGTGTAACTTTCATGGTTTGGTAATGGGTAAAGCAAAGACCATGTGGGTCAGGTAGTAAAAACGGTAGGCTACAATTAATTAATACGTTATGGATTAATTGATATTTAACAACAATCCCCACCCCCCGCCAACGACAAGGATGCCATCGTACATCACGATGTTTCACATTAGACATCGTACAATGCCAAATTGGTCAACATCGCCCAACCCTAATATATATATTAGGGGTGTCACGATTTAGATTTTAAATCGAAATCGATCGAAATTTATGCTCAATTTCGATTATCGAATCAAAAAATAGAATCGTCGATGCTGCCACGCCCCCATGTCACGTCAGCTTGGCTTGCCAAGCGGGAAAAAAACAGGCTTGTTGAAGTGCTTGTTAAACTGCAGAAGCAGGAGACCCGTCGACAGAGCTTAAACCCTCTCCTCTTTCAATGAAGTCGCCGGTGTGGAAGCATTTTGGATTTCCAGTGAGTTATGTTGACAACGCTCGTGTTGTCGACAAAAAAAAACACAGTTTTGCAAGCTCTGCTATGTACGTAGTACGGTTCGTCCGATAGACAATAGAAGTAAAGTTGGTTTTATATTTGCACATTCGCACTTACGCTCCCCTAATAAAATATTAGAAAACTATTGTTTGCAAATTCCAAATAGCGAAATCACACTAGCAGACAACTATTATCAAACTACAACAGCGTTCATGGTCAAAGAAATCATGCTAGTGTTGTTTGAAGTGTTACTTACATGCGATTTCAGACCGAATATTCAATATCGCGTGAAAAACAACAAAGGGACCGTGTCACAAGTTCTCAGGTTGTTGAAAAACGAACAAAAGGAATTCAGCCAACTACTATAACGGTACACATCCCTTACATTTTGCATTACAATGACATGTTTTTATTGATTAATATATTTAATGTAATTATATATATATATATATATATATATATATATATATATATATATATATATATATATATATATATACACACACACACACATTTTTTATGTTTCTGATTTGTATGTAACCTTGTCATTTGATTTGTTTAAATAGGTTTTGAAATCATGGCCTGTGCACATCAACATCTGTGGACCCTGCAGAACATGCATGCAACCTGTGCCTTGCTGTTTTCCTTACCTCTGTCTTACCCATTGTCTTAACTAAATATTGTAACACTGTCATTTCTGTTTTTTCTGTTTATGAAATGTTGTTGTACATTAAACTATCATTATATCATAAATAGTGTGCATTTATTATGATCATTATAATTTGTTGATCCTACAATGATTGGACAACAAAAAAAAAAATTACACATTTACATACACATAAATAATTGAATTTGGAATCTTTACTTGCTGATTAACAAACTTATTGAACGCAGAGGTCGGAATGTGCGAATATAAAACCAACTTTACCTCTATCGATAGACAACACCGGCATCGCGATCCTCCGCCCGCCCCCGTTGCAAATCCGCTCGTGAAAAGTACACACTCAGGCCCTGTTTACACTGTCTTTGCTTTTAAATGGCATTTTAGAACGACAACGATTTGACATCCACAGTGGCGTGTAGCATTTCTGAGCAGCCCTTCTTCCTCACTACCTCTGAAAATGCACATCACGTGACCACACAGACACAGACGCACTCACAGCCATGCGCTCGAGACAGCAGGTCCAGGCAGTCAGAGGACTGCTTCAATCTTTCACTCACTTGTACTTAGTCATTTTAGCGAACACCTCAGATACTGGCTGGTTCCTGTTGGTTGTGCGTCTTTTTTACCGACGCCATTATAACGACACAGATCACTGCCTATTCACGAGTCCCGCAGAAAAAGTGTTTGACAGGTGGTAATTATGTGTGTATCTTGCCTTTATTCATTTACTGTATGATTTGTTTATGGGTAAAACAAAGACCATGCAGGTCAGGTAGTTTAAACGATAGGCTACTAATAATTAATTGGTCATTAATTAATTAATTATTCATAATCGAAAATCGAATCGAATCGTGCCTTCAGAATCGAAAATGTAATCGAATCGAGGATTTGGAGGATCGTGACACCCTTAATATATATATATATATATATATATATATATATATATATATATATATATATATATATATATACATACATACATATTTATATATATATATATATATATATATATATATATATATATATATATATATATATATACATATATATATACATATATACATATATTTATATATAGACCATTTCAATGTAGTGATGTCATAGGCCCATGAACATTTCCAGTTTGTTATCAAACAATTTCATAACTGTAACAAAAGCCAATTCAATCATGACTTAAGGTTAAAACCGCTATCATAACATTATTTATCAATATGTGGCTCTTTTTGCATTCCCGGAAGCTACAGAAATTAAAAATGTAACACAGGAAACATGTTGCGACCATTGTTTTTGTTTACATCCCTCAAAATGGTATATATATTTTGTGTTGTAATCCCTCTTATTGACAAAAGCTCCCAATTTGTCTACCTGCGTATATTTTTCTGGGTGGCTTGATCAATATATTCGAGTTTTTTATTTTTGTTTGTTGCTTCAAAGCACTACATCTAGCCATAAAACACAAGTCAGCCTTAAAAAAAGACATCTTTTTAGATAAGGCAAAGCTATAAGACATTCACCAGCTGTCTGCAGGTCACATTCAGGTTGAGTCAACATTGCACATCACACATTCCCTCCTCCTTCAGCACGGTGAAGCATTTTCACTATATTTAAACAGCGTTTCGTGTTAATGAGGCACTATAGAGTGTGTGTGCGTAATGAGCAATCTGTCATAGATCACGCTGGCAAAACATTATGATAATGCTGGCCTGTTCACGTTGAAGAATGCACAAAGCTCTCCCTTCTAGTTAGTTGCCCAGCAGAGCAGGAGAAATGCATTTCTGGTATAATGAATACGGATGTATGAAGTCCCACATGCAATACAGTCACAGATGGGCTCCAACCAAAAAGACAACAGCTGACCGTCTGACACTTGGACACTTGTGGTGCTAAGTCAGTTTTGTGTCTTGTGCTTAAGGCATATTGTATCAAAGCAGGAAACGTGTGTGTGTGTGCCAAATTGCTAACAAGCAACATCGTATTTACATGTTTATTTAAATCAAATGTTCAATCACATTAAACTGAGGACAAATTGGGTGCTTGAGGGCATCCAAACCCTTAATTAAAAATGATGGGCGTCCCTAAAGACTCGTCTTTGAAGGGCTGCCAGCTGAAGAACAGTTTGATGGGCAATGTTTAGCATGAGGACAAGTAGGTATGCTTTTAATGCACCTGATATGAATGGAAGATCTGACACAGCAAAATGTGCATATGGCTCCAGCATCTGTAATGCAGCATCAAAGCCTTCATACACTCATTTATGCTCGCAAGTTTAAGAAACAAAGCCCTTTTCAGATCAATTGGATGGGTGGTCTGTGAAATTCAGGAGGGATTTAACTCCCCAGTGGTCCTCCACACCATAATTAGATCTCTTAGAACTGATTTGGTTGGAAACACTGAATGTCTTACAAATTAAAAATGAAATGAAGGGTAAATTAGAATATGTGCATCTATTACACACTGTATCACATGGAAATCCCAGCAACTAGTAAGTTATAAATCCTTACCTTATTCAACTAACAGGTGGTGATTTGCGATTCCTTCCGCTCCTTCAAGTTCATAATTCTTCCATCCCTCTTGCATTTGTCATCACTGCCTATGGGGAAACGAGTGAGCAGCCTCCAGATCATAACGACCACTAATGCACAGTCTCCATCCGCAACCCGCTTGGCGAAATCCTCCAAAGCGAGTCTTTTAAACTTGCTCTTAGTTTATATTCCCACAGCACTCGAGACGCATCTGTCGTCTTGTTCTCCAGCATCCTCCGCAATCTGAGCCATGCAGCTTTCCATCTACAGATCTCCTGCTGTCGCTAGGCATCCTGAGCAATAATAATGACCGGCTGAAAACCACAAGTAGCGACGTCCGATTCGCGAACGAGCCGTGTTCTTTGAACTGGCTCTTTTAAATGATTCGATCGAGCCGATTCGGAACGCGCTTGTAGCCTACGCCGTATGACTCGCGTGTGGGAGAACTTCGGATTTGTTCGAAAATGACACGCACTGCACTGCATACTGCGCAGTATATAGTGTATATTCACTGCTTTTGTCGTTATTTTAGCAGTATGCAGTCTGCTGAAACAAACATTTCAAATAACGAGTAGCAGCCTATGCAACACAAGCGACCTCATACACCTTCAGATCATCAGACGATAGAAGGGATCTTTCCTTTTTAGGTAGAATTTTATAAACAAAACTAAATGGCTTGTCCAGATTTATTTTCCCAGGCCTCTCTTTATTAGCTCCTGCTTATGTTGGTAAAGAAATGATTAAATTATTAGTAATTTTTTGTTGGAAAAACAAACACCACCAGCTCGAAAGTTAAGTATTGGGTGATCGAAGAAATCCAGTGGAGGTTTTGAGATATTAAGTTATATAGTTATGAACAATATATTTAAATTGGGTGAAAAAATGTGCAATTGATCCAGATTTTTTATTCCATCTATCTTTAAGAAGGTGTGTGGTCTCAAGTTTCTTTTGATTTGCAATTTTTCACCATCTAAATTACCAGTAAAATTATATAAACTTTATGAGCAAGCACTCTTGGCTTGGAAACTTTGCTTTGTGCATAATTTTTCTCCTCACAGAATGAAAAGTTGGAATAACGAACTGATTACTGAAGGAAAGAGTTTATATTTGGAGAAATGTTTGGAACATAGGTTGGTATATGGAAGTTATTTGTTTGATTCATCTTTAAGGATCTATTCAAATGAATAATTTTTATGTATTTATATATATATATATATATATATATATATATATATATATATATATAATTATTATTATTATTATTTTTATTAATAATAATTTTATTTTTAAGTCAAATTTTCGACAGTGATTTAAGCTATCTCTTTGTGACTCTTTTGGGACTCGTTAATTTAATGTGCAGTCATTTGACCTATTATAAGATAGAAAATAAAGAATGTAATTTCCTGAAAAATGGTAAAAATATATTTGGCAAAAATGTACTTACAAAGACATAAGGCAAGAATTTATTAATAAAAATTATTTATTAGTTATTCCAGGAGGGAAATTTTATCGGAATTGTTTATTATGGGAGGTTAATTGGAGGAAAGCATGGCTGCTACCATATAAATTTTGCATTTCATTTAAAGATAAATTATTTTAAAGATTTTACATAAAATATACCCAACCAACGTGTTACTTTCCAAATGTTCAGATATTGAGAAAGAATGTTCATTTTGTAAAAACAGTGAGGAATCCTTATGTCACTTATTTTTTCATTGCCAGATTTTGGAAAGACTTTTTCTGATTATTCTGCTAAAGTAATATGCTGATAACATTGAATGCAATATAAATTGTTTGTTATTTTGAAAATGTACAATTTTATTACTTTAAATGGTAAATTCTTTATCCACAAATGTAGACTTTCAAAATCCCCACCTTTATACAGAGTTTTTTGTCAACAAACTTATTCTGTTAACGAAGTCTTTCAAAGCTGTAAAAAATGTAAAAGCTCTGTCTACTGTAAGCTATTATAAATCTGTTTTGGGGTGTTGCGAATGTCTTCCATTTGTTTTTGTTTTGTTTTCTTTTTAATTAGAATTTCACCCATCTTTGGAATTTTTGTTTGTCGCTCGTCTTTGCTGTTTTTGTAAATTAACGTCATCAATTAACGATGGTTCATTTCATTTTTTTTATGTTGCTGTTGTTTTCATGCAGTCTGTTAAATATGAAAGCTTATTTTCTACAACAGTACAATTTTCTACAACAAAAGTTAAATGTTAACAACACACAATTCTGATTTTCCCCCTAATAAAATTGAGTATAGGCAGGATGCAAATTATATATTGATATTATATTAACTGAATTTTCAGTAATGTTATTGTATAATCAGTGATTCGGTGAATCAAATTAAATGACATCTATTTTATTAATGCAACATATTTAATTTTGCAGTATTTCGTGGGATAGCTTATGTATTCTGACCTATAATATCCTGAGATTAGCCATTTCAGAGGTTACTGTAGGTCAAACTATGCATCTAATTTTACTTTATTTTAGACTATACACCTATTTTACAAGTAAAGTGTTTTGTGAACACTTACCATGTATCGGCTTAGAATAATTGCATTCCCAATGGTATAATCCATTATAGGGGTGGTCAAATGTATATTTATATTATCTATTACTTAATTAGCAGATTAGTTCTTAAGTTGCAGATCAGAGCAAACAATTTCTTTTTATTTCGAGGACTGACCTCTATACATACATGTTGTTTTCGCATCCTTGAGGGGTGATCAAGCATTAATAAGGGGAGTCAGTCCCCTTCAAATCCCACTGTAATTCGTACCCTAGCTATAGGTCTATTCGGTAGCTATATTCTTTTAACAATATAACCCTAAACAAAAAAAAAAACCTTGCAGTTAAAACATAAAGTCATAAAGAAAAAAGGTTATGTAATGTTATTTTGTGTACATGCTTCGGTGAATCTAATTAAATCAGGGGTCACCAATCTCGGTTCTGGAAGGCCGGTGTCCCTGCAGGATTTAGTTCCAACTTGCCTCAACACACCTGCCTGGGTGTTTCAAGTATACCTAGTAAGACCTTGATTAGCTTGTTCAGGTGTGTTTGATTAGGGTTGGAGCTAAAATCTGCAGGACACCGGCCCTCCAGGAACAAGTTTAGTGACCACTCAATTAAATAATATCTATTTTATTAATGCAACATTCAAATTTCCAGTGTTTTGTGAGATGTCTGGTATATTCAGACCTACATATCACGTGATTAGCCATTTAAGAGGTTAATGTAGATCAATGTATACAAACTATGCATCTGATTTTACTTTACTTTTAGGCTATACATCTAATTTACAAGAAAGGTGTTTTGTGAACACTTACCATGTCTATCGGCTTAGATTAATTGCATTTACAATGGTATAATCCATTATAGGGGTGATCAAATGTATATTTATATAATCTATTACTTAATTAGCAATATTAGTATTTAAGACAATTTAAGTGTAAGAGTAAGTATTTCAATTTAGATGACCGATCACTCATACATATTGTTTTCTTGTCCTTCAATGGTGATCAAGAATTAATTAGGGGAGTCTGTCCCCTCAAACCCCCCTGTAATTCGCACCATGGAAATAGGTCTATTGGGTAGCTATATGCTTTTTCACAATTATAACCCTGAACAAAAAAAATTGCAGTTAAAAGATAGTCATTACGAAAATAGGTTATGTAATGTTATTTTGTGTAATACATGCTTCAGTGAATCAAATTAAATGACATCTATTTTATTAATGCAACATATTAAATTTTGCAGTGTTTTGTGGGATAGTTTGTGCAATCTGACCTACAATATCCTGTGATTAGCCATTTCAAAGGTTACTGGTCAAACAATGCATTTAATTTTACTTTACCTTTTAGGCTATACACCTATTTTACAAGAAATGTGTTTTGTGAACACTTACCATGTCTATCGGCTTAGATTAATTGTATTCACAGTGGTGTAATCCATTATAGGGGTGGTCAAATGTATATTTATATTATCTATTGTTTAATTAGTAATATTAGTATAGAAGTTCAAACTATTTCTCACTATTTAGAGGACTGACAACCCATACATGTTGTTTTCACGTCGTTCAGGGTAGATCAAGTATTTATTAGGGGGGTCAGTCCCCCTCAGCCCCCCTGTAAATCGCACCAGGCTATAGGTCTATTCGGTAGCTATATGCTTTTCACAATTATAACCCTAAACAAACAAAAAAACTTGCACTTAAAATATAAAGTCATCATGAAAAAGGTTATGTAATGTTAATTTGTGTTCAGTAAATCTAATTACATGACATCCATTTTATTAATGCAACATATTAAATTTTGCAGCGTTTTGTGGGATAGTTTGTGCAATCTGACCTACAATATCCTGTGATTAGCCATTTCAGAGGTTACTGTAAATCAAACTATGCATCTAATATTACTTTACTTTTTCTTTACAAGTAAAGTGTTTAGTGAACACTTACCATGTCTGTCGGCTTAGATTAATTGCATTCACAATGGTATAATCCATAGGGGTGGTCAAATGTATATTTATATTATTTATTATTTAATTAGCAATATTAGTATTTAAGTTGCAGGTCAGAGCAAACTATTTCTGACTATACCATACATGTTGTTTTCAATCCTTCAGAGGGAATCAAGCAATAATTAGGGGGGTCAGTCCCCCTCAAACCCCCCTGTAATTCGCACCCTGGCTATATGCTTTTTACAATTATAACCCTAAGCAAAAAAAAAACATACAGTTAAGATATAAAGTCATTATGAAAAAGGTTTAGTGCTATAAAAAAAAGAAAATTCCATGTCCTTTTTCATACATTATTAAAAATAGTTTCTATAAAGGAGCTTTCAGCAATGATGCCACAAAGAACCATTGTTAGTGTCCTGAAAAGTTTAGCATCTTAAAAAAACTGTTTAATAATCTCAAATATATTTAAACTTTGCTGAATGTGAGGGTTCTGTGGATATTAAAGGTTATTCAAAGAACCACTGATGCCAGTAAACATGTTTAAAGAGTGTGGAACAAACAAGCTCTCATATTGGTCAATAAATTAGAGGCACTATTGAAATTACATACGGTTCATTTATCACCCCAAAAATCAATGGACTATTGAGTGCCCATGCAGAGTGCATGCAGTGCCTGTATAGGGTGAATTCAGGTAAACGGGATACTTGTAGGCCTAGTTTTTTTTTCAGCTGTAAAACCCAACTTAATTACAATTCCTTACAAAAACATAGGCTGCTGCATATTACAGTAATGCAGTGGTGTAAATTAACTAATTACAGATACTGAAAGTACTGTAATTGAGAAGTTTTCCTCAGGTATTGTAGGGTAGTTTTAAA